GTGTTTTCTCGATGTTCCCCGACCCCCCGCCACTGGGAATCGAGGGTCAATTTGGGCCTTCGGGTTGGGTTGGGGTGGTTTGGTGGGTGGCGATGGATGGGAAAGAGAGTGGCGCAGAAGAGCACGGCAGAGCATGGCGCGTCATGGCATGGCGCGGCAGTGCGTAGTGAAGCATCGCGTCACAAAGTATGGCCTCTTTGGCGGGGTGGGCGCCCCCCTGCGGCGCGGAGGGCAGGGGCCCCAGGGAGGCCCCCAGGAGGCCCCCGAGGGTCTTTTGAGGCCAAAAGGAACCACCGTCCAAAGCGGTCGACCCTCGAATCTCGGAGATCGAAGACCTCTCCCCCAGGGCCCAGCCTCGCCCGGGTCGGCTCCGAGAACGTCCCGGGGCGCTCGAAGATCTTCGAAGCGGAGCTGTCGTCGTCGCCGAGAGGGTCGGGGCACCTCCCCCTCGACATCCGGCGCGCCTCCAACGAGGCGGCCGGTCCGACGCCATGTCTGGCCCCCGGGGGGGCCGGGCTCGGGCCTCGGGGCGGTAATTAAAAGAAAACCACTCGGGATGGAACTCGGTCCTGGGGGCAAAAACACTTACGCTGTGGAACAAAACGACGACGCCCACGACGACGACGACGGCGACGACGGCGACGACGACGACGACAAGGACGACAAGGACGACGACGACAAGGACGACGACGACGACGACGACGACGACGACGACGACAACAACAACATCAGCATCAACATCAACAACAACAGCAGCAGCAGCAACAACAACAACAGCAACAACAACAACGACAACAACAACAACCTTAACAACACCAACAGCAACAACAACAACAACAACAACCACCACCACCACCACCACAACAACAACAAGAACAACAACAACAACAACAACAACAACGACAACAACAACAACACCAACACCAACAACAACAACAACAACGACGACGACGACGACAACAACAACAACAACCACAGCAACAACAACAACAACAGCAACAACAACAACAACAGTATCAACAACAACAACAACAGCAGCAACAACAACAGCAACAACAACAATAACAGCAACAATAGCCGCAGCAACATGAACCAACCAACCAACCAACAAACCAACCAACTTACCACAACCACAACCACAACCACAACAACCACAACAACAACAGCAACGACAACGACAGCAGCAGCAGCAACAACAGCGACGACAACAACAACAACCACAACAAACATTTAAGACTGTCGCTCTTATCTGCTAGCGGGCTTTTCAACACGTATATCCCGAACCCTCGATACCCGTCCTCTTCGTCCTAAAATTGCACCCCATTGGGGGTATACATCTTTTTTACCTGCAACGTGTATTTCGTGCAGCCCCTAAGGCAGGGGAAGAGATGACGGATGGAAGGAAGCGACAAGGGGAAGGGAGGAGGATGGAGCACGAGAGAGAGAGAGAGAGTAACAGGAGGGGGGCTAGGAGCAGAAAACATGTGGCAGAACCAGACGGGCGGATCGGGCGGGTAGACCCTAACGGGCGGGTCGGGAAGGCGGGCCCAAACGGCAAGGTCGAGCAGGCGGGTTGCTGAAGCGTGAGTCCAGCATGAATCTCGAGGATGTCTCGAGCGATGGCGGGATTCCCAAATAAATCGTTAGGAAATCCACAGCGAGAGCGTGATTCCTGAGTGTCGAGGGCGCAGCGTCTGAATGAATGGCGAGGCAGTCCCACGCGAGAGCGCGATTCCCCTATCAATTGTGAGGATGTCCCGCGCGAGAGCGAGATTCGGGCATAAATTGTGAAGGAATATCAGGCGGGAGCCGCTGTTGTTGTAAACCGGGGGCCAGGGGCATAGTTTGGTGACCCCTCGCTTTCCCTTGTAAAAAACAGGGTGCGAGCCCCAGGAGAAGCACATTAATTGAAGAAGATAAAGGAGGATGGGATCAACAATCATTATTCTCGAGAAATGGGAAATCATATAATCACAACAACAACAACAACAACAACAACAACAACAACAATTACTAGCACGTGGGGACACTCCGTTCTCACCAGTGCCAGGGTTTTCATAGGAGGCGGGCAATACCCCCACTTTGTGGGGGGGCCGGTTCAAGCTCTACCAAATTTCCAAACGACTCTTCGCCACCACCCACACCCAGCTTCCCGCCCTATGACGTTCGGACACTTCACTTCGTGGGATGCGGACGACCGTGGCTACTATTCAGGGCCCCGCGGCCGACGACGACGGCGTGCGCGCGCGAAGAAAAAACGAATGTGTCCCGCATGGTATTATTTGACAGGGATGATGGCCCTGGCAGGTGCGCAACCGTTGTCGCAGAAGTTCGAAAAAGTTGCTCGCAAAAGCCCGTTTGACAGAAATGTTTAAAAAGTGTTGGGTTTCCTACGAATCCGCAAGAGCGCGCGGGATGAGATTTTGACAATTTTTTGTTGAAAAACCATTGGTTTTTTGATGTTTTTATGTTAAAATCGCTGCGAACACTAAGGTTTTGGAAGGATTTCGTCTTGCGCGCGCGAATGTCCACTTTACCTTATTTTTTGCAAGGGATTCTTGAAATTTGATTATATTAGAACAAGAAATGTCATTTTCTATTGTTTTTTGCAAGGGAAAGCGGATTACAACAAAACAACCGGATCCTGTACACACCCTCTTTTCTGAGGCTTCCTCACGAAAATGATGAAAATGTAGCTGCGGCCTAGGCGGCGCAGGGGGGGCGCGCACCAGGGGGCCCAACAATAATTATTCTTTAGAATAAATAATGTTCAACAACAACAAGACACGCACTGCGCGGTGTTTCCACACAATATGTGTTTGGTGTTCCTTGTGCATGTTTTCGACACAGGTCGGGAGGTACAAAGGCCTACGCATCGAGCAAGTCGGGGCCGCAGCGCGACGTCTCCGCCGCCAGGCTGGCCACGAAGGGCTGCGGCTGCGGCAGCCGCTCGCGCGGCCAACGGAGGCCACGAGGGGTCCCGCGCCAGCGCTGCTCGCCGCCATCGTCGCCGCCGCCGCCGCCGCCTACGACGACCGCGACGGCAACGGCGACGGCGACAGCGAAGACGTCCTCGTCGCCGTCGCCACCGCCAGACATCCTGGCCTCCCCCCCACCCCGCCAGCGGGGCGGGAGCGCCTGCTCTGGGATGCCATGGCCAGCGGGCCTGGGGGCCTCGGATGCGGCGGCGCCGGCAGCGCGGGAGGCGGACGAAGGGTTGGCCGGCAAATCGACTCGCAACGAATCGGATCGCAGGCGGCCTTGGTTGGCGGCAGCGCCGCCGCTCACCCAAGCCGCCGACCTCCGCACGACGGCGGCGACGAAAGGCGAGGAAGACGACGACGACAGACAACGGACGACCGACGAAGGCGATGACGAACGGCGACGGACGACGCCAGCGACGGCGGCAGCGACGACGACGACAGCCACGAAGACGACAACGACGACGACGACGACGACGACGACGACGACCGATGATCGACGACCGACGACCGACGACCGACGACCGACGCCCGACGACCGACGGCCGACGACCGACAACGACGGACGACGCCCGACAACCGACAACGACGGACGACGCTGGACGGACGGCGGCGACGACGACGACGAAGACGAGGAGAATGATGATGATGATGATGATGATGATGATGATCATGATGATGATGATACTAATACTGATGATGATGATGACGATGACGATGACGATGACGATGATGCTGATGATGATGATGGTGATGATGATGGTGATGGTAATGGTGATGGTGATGGTGATGGTGATGGTGGTGATGATGATGAATACGGTGATGGTGGTGATGATGAATATGATGATGATGGTGGTGATGATGATGATGGTGATGGTGATGATGATGATAATGATCATGGTGATGGTGATGATGATGGTGATGATGATGATGGTGGTGATGGTGATGGTGATGGTGATGGTGATGGTGATGGTAATGATGATCATGGTAATGATGATGATGATGATGATGATGACGGTGATGATGATGATGATGCTGATGAAAAGGACGACGATGATGACGATGACGATGACGATGACGACGATGATGATGATGATGACGACGACGACGACGATGATTATGATGATGATAATGACGATGATGATGATGGTGGTGATGGTGGTGATGCTGATGCTGATGGCGATGGTGATCATGATGGTGGTGATGACGATGATGATGATGGTGATGATAGTGACGATGACTATGACGATGACGATAATGATGATGATGGTGATGATGATGATGACGGTGATGATGATGATGATGATGATGGTGGCATGATGACGATGACGATGACGATGACGATGACGATGACGACGATGACGATGATGATGACGACGATGATGATGATGGCGGTGGTGGTGATACCGCTGATAATGATGGTGGTGATGATGACGGTGATGAGGATGATGATGATGATGATGATGGTGGTGATGATGACGATGAGGGTGATGGAAAAGACGAAGCACTGACTGAAGAACAACCGAACACATAATGAGCCAACTGTAAAGAAGAGAAGAACGACGAAGAAGAACAACGACAACGAAGACGAAGACGAAGACGACGAACGCCGCGGAACTGCAGTACATGGCCGGGTGTTCGGGGCACGAGGAGTCATGATAACAGATAAAGGAGCAGGAGGCAGGGGGGAATATCGCAGAGAGGGCATGAATCAAACCAAGACGTTTTCGGGAAGGGGGGAGGATGAAGAAGGACCTGCAGAAGAAGAGGGGAACGAGGACGACAAAAAGAGGATGAAGATGAGCATGAGGAAGGGACGAGGACGGGGAGCAAGACGGAGAGGGGAAGGGGGAAGGAAAGAAGGGAGGGGAAGGGGAAGCGGAAGGGGGGGGGGGCTTCCCTTCGTCGACGATTCTGCTGCATGGCTTCGCAAGCCTTGCATTTGTAGCACTCGAACCGCTTGACAAAATTCCGCTCGCCACAGGACTTGTTCTCGCAGTACCAGTCTCTGCTTCTGTCCTGGCCCAGGCTGGCCCAGGACTGAGGGGAACAGATACAATAGCAGGACGGAGCGGCAATCCACAAACTCTATCCTCCACTGGCGCGTTAGAGGCCTCCCAAATGGGGTCCGAGGAGACGTGGTCGGAGAATCTCGCAACATCGCCAATGCATCGCCAATGCATCGGCTATGCATCGGCGCCGTCGGCGTGGAGAACATCGGGCTCCACCTCGAGCCGCATCGACAACGCATCGGCGATGCGGCGCGATCCGCCGACCCCATCTCAAAGGACCCCATGGGGGAGGCCCGGACTCATTACTCACAGTTCCGCTTCGTCCTTCTGCTCAATGGTCACTGATCCCCCAGACTTCCGTACCCCTTCGCCTGTTCCTTCCCACTACGCGTCCTCCGCATTCCTCCGCCGTCTCCTCCTCCCCCTCCTCCTGCTACTCCTCTTCCTCATCCTTCTCGTTCTCCTCCTCCTCCTCCTCCTCCTCCTCCTCCTCATCCTCCTCGTCCTCATCCTCCTCACCCCGCTGTACTCCCAGTGCTCCATTCATTTCCTTGTAAATAACTCCTCACTATCGCACCCCGAGGCCGATCGAAAGGGCGGGCCAGGCGTTTCGCCTGAGACCTCCCTACCACTTGTTACCCTAATGGTTCAAAACTGACAACAGTTCTAAAAATCGTCGTAGCTCTCGCCTTGTGCCACGTACATTAGTTTTCCGATTTGCAAGAGGTTCACGGATTGAGGGCGGGCGTTCTCAAAATGTGGCTCTCGCTTCAGCGCAGCACACATTCGTTTAAAACTTGCAAGACCTAGGGCGGATAGCTTTCAAAATGTTGCTCTCGCCCTAGCGCCAGCGCACATTCGTTTTCAGAACTCACCAAAGCTTCACGGATTGAGAGCGGGTGGTTTTCAAAATGTTGCTCTCGCCTGCGCGCCGCATACATTGTTAAAAGTTGCAAGAGCTTCACGGATTGAGGGCGAGTCGTGTTTTAAGTGTGGCTCTCGCCTCAGCGCCGCGCATATTCCTTTTACCATTTTGCAAGAATGTCACGGATTGGGGACGGTTCGTTCTCAAAATGTTGCTCTCGTCTTGGCACCGCGCACATTCGTCTTGCAAATTTGCTAGAAGTTCACGGGTTCTCATCGTCGTCGTGCCAAACACGGTGTTTGGGAACGATTTCGGACTGTCAGGGCACAGCAGTTGCGTTGATTCGCAGTGTTGAAGTCCCAGGAATGGTGTTCTGGCATGATTCAGGATCGCCAACACGTAACAGTCAGGTTAACTCGTGGCGTTGAAATCCTGAGTATGGTGTTTTGACACGCTTCCAGATGTTCATACGATTGTCCCCGAATGGGATAATTCCCTGTGGAAATAACCCCTTATGAGCGCCTATGACTGGGATCTGCGAGGGAGGGTGTATGTCAACATCGTTGACGAGTCTTGGGTTACAGTGGTCCTCGTCCTCCTCCTCCTCCTCCTCCTCCTCGTCCTCCTCCTCCTCCGCCTCCTCCTCCTCCCAGTTATCCTCCTCCTCCTCTTCCTCCTCCTCCTCCGCCTCCTCCTCCTCTTCCTCCTCCTGATCCTCCTCCTCTGCTTCTTATTCTTAGTCGCATGCGTAGGTTTACTCGTTCTTATTCGTACAATCATGATGAGTGTTACTATTATTGTTGTTATATGATGATTATAAATAGAATCATTCGTAAAATCCTCAATATTACCCATAGCCTTATTTCTGGTATGTTTGTGCGTTATACTTATTAGTAGCAGTAGTTATATGCACTATGAATTGCAGTAGTGCTATTATTATGAGTATTAGCATTGCCATTCATACTAGCATTCGTAGTACGAGTAGCAATGATGTTCGTAATAGTTGTGACGGCATCAATATTAACATTCGCATTGTTATTCGCACTCGTAATACGAATATTGGTACGACTATTTTAGCACTATTATACGCAGTGCGGTTGCCATTTCTATGATCTGAATCAATATTGTTGCTAGGATTCGTCTCAGCACTACTACCAGTACCCCTGCGATTAGTATCATTATTTGTGTTCGCATCCTTCTGTGTCGAATTATAATTAGTCTGCTTACTGGTACGGATATCATTGATCAGAGTGAGGGGGCTGAACCGAGCGGTCATTCACTGTCCCTGGGTACGTGGCTAAAGTGGAATTCCGCGATGCGGATTATTGTTGTTGGTGTTGTTGTTGTTGGTGTTGCTTGTTGTTGTTTGCTGCTTGTTGGTGTTGTTTGTTGTTTGTTGTTTTTTGTCGTCGTCCCACCCGCGACCCGCCCCGCGCCCAACCCGCGACCCACCCCGCGACCCACCCGCGACCCACCCGCGACCCACCCCGCGACCCACCCAAAACTTTCGGCGCCTGCGGCGGGCTTCTTTTGCATTCCCACCCGCGACCCCGCGCCCGCGACCCACCCGCGACCCACCAGGACCCACCCGCGACCCACCCGCGACCCACCCCGCGACCCACCCAAAATGTTCGGCGCCTGC